CAGAAATGCAACTGATTTTTTATGTTAATTTTCTACCCTAAAATTTTATTAAATGAATTTATTTTTAACAACAGTTTTGTGGAGTCTTGTTATCTTTAGGACTTGTTCTTAATGATCATGTCATTTGAAATCAGTACATAAATAAACAAAACCAACATTTGTCTTTCTGAAGGATAAACAAAATTGACAAAACTTTAGTCTGATAAAGAAAACTGGAAAGTTCATGTAAACTCAAAAATGAAAGAGAAGACATTATCACTGATAAAAGTCAAAAGCATCGTAAGAAACTATGAACAATTACCACAAATTATGTAACTTAGAAGAAATGGGTAAGTTCCCAGAAACATAAAATCTACTAAGAATTTTAGTCATAAAGAGAAAACCTATGCTGTTCAGTATCAAGTAAAAGACGGGATCGGAGGAAAAACAAAACAAAACAAAACAAAACAAAACAAAACAAAACAAAACAAAACAACTTCATATCAAAGAAGAGCCAAGGATCAAATGGCTTACTGCTGAATTCTACCAAACATTTAATGCCATTCCCTTTCAGACTCCCCCAAAACACTGATGAGGTAAACCTCTTCAGAGTTCTGGGAGCAGCATTGCATTGACTCTGAAGCCACTCAAAGATACTGTGAGCTGTGAAAACCCCAGGCTGATCCATGAAAACTTTCATGCAAAAATCCTCAGTAGGGACAAGAATCATGTTCCAATGGTTAGGGACACTTACTGTGTAATCGTGAGGACTGGAGCTCAGATTCCAGCACCCATCAAACAAGCCTGGCATCCCTCATACACATGGAACCCCAGTTCTAAGGGAGACAGAGACAGGGAATATAGCTGGGGCTTACTGGTTTCCAGTTTAACCTAGTAAATCTGAGCCCCCTGTTTAGGGAGGCTCAAAGGAGTAGAGGGAGACTGATGAAAGAGGCTACCAAATGCCCCTTCTGCCCCCCAAATCCAAACACCTGTATATATTATGCATGTGCCACTTATACACACACACACACACACACACACACACACACACACACACACACACACACACTTAATAAATCTTTAAGAACCTTAATAAAAATAATAGGAAACAGAAATAAGCTACACATAAAAAGGACATTAAAATAAAATGGAGTTTAGCATGATTCAAGCAATGTTCAACATCTGTAAATCAATTAACAAAATGAATTACACCAACAAAATTGAGGATGAAAATTGCAGACTCATCTGAAAACATGCAGAGAAAGATGGTAATCTATTGCTTGAAAAAATGTTCTTTACAAACTAGATGTAGAAGGAATTGACCTCAGCATAATAAAGAGTGTAGGTAGTGTATTTGAAGGTTAAAATCCAAAAGCTTTTATTCTAAGATTTGGAGCAAAACAAGGTCACTGGCTTTTACTACTTCTACCTAATGTAGTACTAGAATTGCTATCCAGAGAAATAAGATAAGAAAAATACCTAAAATGTGCCCAAGTTAGAAGAGAGGATGGAAAATTACTTATGAATGAAATGAACCCTAATTATTTTAACTCAATATAGAAATAATCTATATTATTACTATTTTATTTTATTTCACTTTAAAAATAATTTTAGCTTAATCTGCCATCTTTGAGAAAATATTTAAATTTTGTTAATATTTAAAACAACGAAACGATTAGGAAGAAATGTAAGCTATTGAGGGAACACATTTGATATGTTGGAGAAACAGTATATCTTTTATTTATTACTGTGTGTTTATTGAGCACTATGCTGGGAAGTCACTGAACATGCCAGAAAAAATGTTGTAGATAGGATCAGGTATTAATGATTTTACCATTTTATTTTTTTCTCTTTTGAAAATATTTGTTTTGAATTTATACATATATTTGTGTGCATTATTTTAATTAGTAATATTTTGTGATTTTTGAGATGGAATGAATCAAGAACATTGTTCAATATCAGATTCTCAGAGCATGTCTGCCATCTAGTGGCATCAGACAATGTTTCATGTATAAACTTAAATATATTTCTTTTATTTTCTGAGGTTATGACTACATAACTTTCTCCTTCTCTTTCTTTCATCCAAAGCCTCTCATATACCCCTTTCTCTTTTTAATATTCATCTTTTATCATCAGTTCTAGTATGGTACACACACACATACATCCTGAATACATAATTACAACATGCTCAGTCTGTATGTTACTTGTACATAAGTTTCAAGGCTGACCATTTGGTAATTGATAACAAATTGGTGTGCTCTTCCTTAGGACAGAGCATTTTTACTACACTCAGCACTCCTTACCTGCCTGTAGGTTTGTGTGTGTGTGTGTGTGTGTGTGTGTGTGTGTGTGTGTGTGTGTGTGTTTTCTTTTTTGCATTAAGGCCTCCTGGGCTCCCCTTATGTTTCCCCAACATGCATAAAACCCTAACTGTATTCTAAATATTTGTCATTATATCCACATGTAAGTGTAGTCCTCACCTGGAATAAAGAGCTCTTCTCACTGCAACAGAGACTATTACAGATAACCACAGCTAACCAGCTACAAAGTGTCAGTCACAATGGATACACCTACAAAACACTGCAACTGAGCCTCAGGGATCGTTGAAGAAGAGGGTGTCAAGGGGGCGTTTACCCACCAATCCCACAGCTCCCCAGAGTTTTCTTGAGTGTGAGCAGCAGGAAATATTAGATAGAAGGATTTATTGCGGAGAATCTTGTGGAGATAAACAGATAGAAAATAAAGGATAGCCTCGGGAGGGCCTGGAACCTTTTCCAACGGGCCATAAGAGAGGCTTGTTTTGCCATAATACTGCTATAGGAGTATGTCTAGTGGGCAAAACATGTGCATACCAAGGTAGGGCGTAATTAATGTAATGTACTTGCTGGTTTTGAATAGCCTTTCAATCTTGCAGAAGAACTTGTCTACCTTTTTCAGTTAACTCTCTGGGTGAATTAGGGTCACTATCTCCTTTTAAAATATCACTTAAAGGTTTCAAATCACCAGTAAATACTTTTAAATAAGGGTGCAACCATTGAATCTCCACCAATAATTTTTGAAAATCATTTAAAGTTTTTAACTCATCCTTTCTTATTTCCAATTTTTGAGGCTTTATCACCTTAGGGCATAATGCATAATACTGAAAAGGTGAGTGTCTTTACACTTTCTCTGGAGCGATAATTAATAATAATAATTACCTGCATGGGTAAGACAGTGCTGAAGCCATCCAAAAATGTCAAGCAAAATTTCTTCATCTTTATGCGCAAGCAAATATCATCCATGTAATGAATAATATAAGCTTGTTGAACTTGCTAACTCTTTGGATAGCTTGAGCTATGAATTTCTGACAGTGTTGGGCTCTTGACCATTCCTTGGGGCAAAACCTTCCAGGGGAATCTTTTCATGGGTTCTTTAAAGTTGACTGAGGGAATACTAAATGCAAATCTTTGAAAGTTTTGGTGAGCTAAAGGAATGGTATAAAAACAATCCTTCAAATCCAAAATAATTTTATGCGTGTTTTCTGGTATAGCAGTAGGGATAGGCAATCCAGACTGCAAAGCTCCCATAGGTTGTATGGTTTCATTAATCCTTCTCAAATCCTGTAATAATCTCCATTTCCCTAACTTCTTTTTGATGAGGAAAATAGGAGAATTCCAGGGAGAATTAGAAGGTTCAATATGACCACTATTCAGCTGCTCCTGTACTAACTGCTGGACAGCCTGTATTTTTTCTTCTGTTAGGGGCCATTGATCTATCCACACAGGCTGATCGGATTTCCAGGTTATAGGATCTGCATGGAGTATAGGCTGCTCAATGACCCTTCCTAAAAATGCTCCATAACGTCCTTATTAGTTTTTTCTATGAGTTAAAGATGACATTTCCATTAACTTTTGGTCAGGAACTTCTTGTTCATCGACAGTTGTATTGGGACTATATAAGTATACTCCCATACAGCTCATAACATCTCAACCCCACGAATTTACCGGCAAGTGAGGGAAAATGTATGGCCGAAAAGTCCCTTCATGACCCTCCTCATCTCTCCAGGAGAGCTCAGTGCTGCTCTGCTCGGGACACTGAGTTTGACCAATCCCTTGCAGCTGTGTAATAGTCTCCATTTTTGGCCACATAGCAGGCCATTGACTAGCAGATATAACAGAGAAATCTGTGCCTGTATCTAAAAGACCCAAGAAACTTTTCCCATTTATGACTAATGTAAGTTCTGGACGTTGTGGTCCTATGGCTTGTAGCCAATAGGCATCTGACGAACCGAATCCAGCCTCTCCTCTCTTATCTCTTTTGATTAGATTTTTTGTTTGTATTTGAGGAAGTAAGATTAACTGTGCAAGTCTCTGACCGATCTTTATTACTGAAATTCTCATGGGTGAATGAGTCATCACCTTTATTTCTCCCATATAGTCAGCATCAATCACTCCAGGGGCAACTAAAATTCCTTGCATGGTAGTACTACTTCTGCCCAACAATAACCCCACAGAGCCCTGTGGCAAAGGTCCATAAACACCTGTAGGGAGGGCTTGCATTCCCATTTTAGGGGTCAAAACTGTATAGATGGAAGAATTGAGGTCTAATCCAGCATTACCTGGTGTTGCTCTATAGAGGTCTTGAATATATTTCTTTGCCGGAGGATTGACTGTTGAATTACCCCCAAAGGTCTATTTTGTCGGGCCCTGGGGCAGGCTCCTCTGTCTGTTTCCCTGAAACGGACTCTTTTGGGTATTTGCCCTTGATGTGCATTCACTAGCCTGGTGTTTCCCTCTCTTACATCTTGGGCATAACCCAGGCTCTCTATTTGATCCGAAGCCCCTTCTCTTGCTAGGGCAACTTCTAATATAATGTCCCATCTGTCCACACCCAAAACAACTTCCAGGAGGTTCAATATCTTTCCCTTGTCTGGAATTAGGGTGTCTTTGCTGGTACAGAACATCCCTAACCATTTTTCCTTGTAATGCTGTGGCCATGACTATCCCTTGATTGTATAATGGTCCTATATCAGAACAAAGTCAGATATAGTCAGAAATGTTGCCCTTTTTTCTAAAAGGGCATCTCATGGCCTGACATGCTGCATTGGCATTTTCATATGCAAGTTGTTTTACAAGTAAAAGTCCAGCTTCTGAATTGTTAATTAATCTGCTAGCCCTTTGCATTAATCTGGAAACAAAATCTTGAAATAACTCATCAGGCCCTTGCCTTATCTTAGACAGATCTTCAGTTTGTCTTCCTGATGATGGAAGTGTATTCCAAGCCCTTTTGGCAGCAGCCTGAACCTGAGCATACACCGCTATATCAAAGTTTAACTGTTGACCTGTCTCTCTATAAGGGCCTTCCCCAGTGAGCATATCAAAGGTGATAGGAATCTGTTGTGCCCGATTTATTTCAGCTGTGGCCTGACACTGTTCCATGAACTCACTTTTCCACAGCAGATAGTCACCTCCAGATAGACATGCTCGAGCCATTTGTTTCCAATTGCCCGGGGGCAAAACTTCTAAAGCCAGGCTTTCTAACAATGCTGTTGTGAAAGGAGCAGTCGGGCCATATTGACTACATGGTGTTTTTAACTCCTTAAGCTGTTTGAAAGGAATGGGGACATGCACTCTTATGATATTACCCTGGCGGTCCCGCTCTTCCAGGACAGGGAACATTTGAAAGTCTTGAATTTCTTCCCCCTTACTAGCAGCTTCCCCGAGGCTGGCTTGAAGAGGAGATGTAGCTTTGACAGAGAGGGTTCGCATTGCCTCAGAGGATCTCTGTGCTATGGCAATTACAGGTGGCTTTTCCATTCTAAAAGACGCCTCCCCAGGTGAGCCTAGTTCCACCCCTACAGAGGGAAGAGGAGAGACTTGGAGAGTTTCTATTTTTTGAGTGAGAGAAGTTACTAGGCTTTTCAGGTTTTTCAGTTCTTCCCTTGTCTTATTCCAAGATTTTTTGTTCCTTAAACTTAGCGTCATGGCCAAGAGAAACCGGACCCTGTTTAAGTGGTGCTGTACAGGGTTTTCAGGTTCTGCTGGTGGAGCAGAGGGTTTTATCTCTGCCTCATCTGCCTTAGGGAACGATCCCTCCTGCTTTTCAGGGTTAGGATCTAAATTATTCCAGATTAATGCCCACAGGCCAAGGGCTTCAACGGGAATAGTTTCTGGCCTGTGTTTTTCATTGTATTTTTGTATTTCAACTCCAATTCTCTCCCAGGAATTCTCATTCAGCTTCCCATAATCAGGAAACCAGGGACACAGTTCCTCTACAAACTGTAAGAACCTCTGTACTTGTTGTAGTTCCACCTTAACGCCTTTGGTTTTTAGTCTTTCTACAAGTGACTCTTCGAAGATTTGCTTACTATTTTCCTGCCCCATTTTGATCAAGAGGTCTTTGTTTTTTCTTAAAGTGACTCACAGGTAATTCTCACACTAATATCTCCAGGTGATTCTAATCTCATCCTTCTGAGAGAGAAAGTTAGAGGCTTTAGTTTTTAAGTTTTTTAAGAGAGAAAGATTAAGGTTTTTTAAAGAAATTTCCCCCCCCCCCAAATTTTCCAAGAAAAGCTTTTTAGTTTAAGAGAAAGATTTTTTTTTTCCCACGAGAGAAAGACCAACTTTTCCCAAAACGTTTGAACTTTAAACTTTTTGGCTTTTTACACCCCCATTTTTGCCTCAGGGAGAAAACACTTTCTCCTGCGGCTTGGACTTAGCATTTCAGCTGTCCCCAGGACAAAAGCTTCCATAACAAACTTTTTCTTCCCCATAAGCTCAGAGAAGAGCTTTTTTACTACCTGTAAAGCCCAAAGAAAGATCCCCCCCCAATTTGCATTCATAGCCCCCAGTTAGAAAATTGAAGAGTTTTTCTGTCTAGTTGTCTTACTTATTTTTTCCTACACGATCTTATACTTCTAAGTTTTTCCTACACTATATTATTCTCCTATACCTTATACTTATTTTTCACAGATAGAAATTGAGAAAGAGATAGAAGACAGAAAATTTTGACAGAAGAGAATTTTGCCCTGCAGCATGGGACATCCTTCCAGTCCAATTTCCTTTTCTCTTGAGGATAAAACCCTGCCCCTCAATATATATATGTTTTTCCATAACACTGGCATGCCTTTCCACTGGCAGGGCTGACCAACACTTTCGTCAAGAACTCTGTAATAAAACTATTATTTTCCTTTGTCTTTAGTCCCCCCTTTTTTTCTTTAGTCCCCCTTTTTTCTTTTTTCTTTAGTCCCTGTTCATGGTGCCATACTGTGGGGCATTTACCCACCAACCCCACAGCTCCCCAGAGTTTTCTTGAGTGTGAGCAGCAGGAAATATTAGATAGAAGGATTTATTGCAGAGAATATTGCAGAGATAAACAGATAGAAAATAAAGGATAGCCTTGAGAGGGCCTGGAACCTTTTCCAATGGGCCCCGATTGACTCTGCCCCAGGATATTTATAGAGATGCCAAGGGGTGCAGCAAAAGACTTCCTCCCCCAGCACAGCCAAGTGCAGACCATCTCAGACACCTGCATTCAAGCCTGTGGTCCTAATCATCCTCTATGTGGACCTGCTGGGTAAAGCCACAAGGAACCCCAAAACGGGCTCCCACAGGTGTGAAGGATTATGAGAGCCAGGGGCTCAAGAAGTTCACTGTGAGACTGTGTCTCCTAAGAATGTCAGTAGCTACACCTATAAAACCTTACAAGATGACTACCTAAGCATGAGCTGAGCAAGGACAATACCAATAGATGTGGTGATTTATAAAGTTCTGATTGTACATTCTCCCCTGTAGTATGCATATTACTAGTTTATTCTTGTGATTTTTTTTTTTATATTTCCCATCCATAGGGTACGGGGATATTCCAAATTAAATCCCCATAGTTTTGTCTTCTTTAGACATCTTACAATCACTTTTCAAGTAAAGCCAGAGGGAAAAGTTATTTCTAATTGGGTTTTGCTTCTTCCAGACAGTACTAAAAACTGTTACTAAAGAAATGATGAGATACTTATAAATTGATAGTGAGAAGTATGTTATTCTTTTTAAAAAGTATCTTATTTTTTAATATTCACTTTAACTAGTTGGAGATCTGTTACCCTTTATAGTCCCTGACTCAGGAGCTAGTCACAGTCTGGCTATGCCTGCAGGAAGTGCACACTTAAGTGATGCTTGCCTACGGTAGCAGGCTGAAACAACAGCACCAGAGAACTCTACATCTGGAGCAAAGTAGAAGAGCACTTCTCTGTACCTCAAACAGGATGTACAAACGATAGCATTAATGAAACACCATAGAACACCTCTTCAGATTTGGATGACATGAGTCATTTTTATCATACATAGCTAATATAACTTAAAACATTAAACACAAGAAACAGATACATGTCCTGTTTTGTCATTTTGATGTTTAAAAACCATAACCAAAACCATAAATGTTCTAAAATTTCAGTAAACACAAGCATATTTTAGTTCACCCATACTAAAAATTATGCCAATATAATCATTCTTACCAAAATTATAAGCAATATTCCATGTTGTAATAAAATATTATTTCTGAAAAGCAGCTTGCTAAATAATCCAAATAACCATAGAGTAGAATTTTTCAGTATTTGCAAAAGCGAACTATGAAAGTATCACTGACGAATAATGGTAAAAATATTGGAAACAACCTAAGCATGTAGCATAACACTTGTCCGGGGAATGCTTCCTTGCCATCTAAAGGCAGTGAAAATCTCCACATTTTATGGAACATAAATATTATATGGAGTTATATCATTGACAATATAATTTAATGTCTGTAAAATAAAAATGTCAATGTAAATATCAAATACATCCCTAGATCATAATCAAAATAAAATGACTAAATATTTTTGCTTATATGTTTTTATTTTCTCAATTTTGTGCAGAAGATATATATTATTTGTTTAGAGCTTTTGAAATAGATTTTTTGTAGGGTAAAATTTTTCATTGAAAGGAATCTTCAAGGGGCTCAAACTAATGTTTTATAGTATTTTCCTTTTTAATTCAAAAGTGATCACCACTTTGGGGTTTTTCTTTTGATATACAAGCAAAGAAGGAATTTTACAAAAATGGAAACAAGAAACAAATAGATAAAGAATATTTCATCTGGAACAGTGGCAACTTCTGTAAAAGCCAAAGAATATATTCTCCCTAATTTTAGATTCACCTTTAGAGGAACTCCGCTGTTATTCATAAACCCACCTTTGGTATTTGAATTTCTCAAGAGTCTCTTTTCAGGCAAGCAAACCTTCAGAAATGAATTTGATTTACAGTGACTTCTATCCCACTCACAGGATATTCACTATTATCTTCTTCCAACAATAGAATTTAATTATTGTAAGTTCTGTGAATGAAGCTAATTATCACATTAGCATAAAAATAATTGAAAAGATAGACACAAAGAATTTCTATTAAGCTCAAGATTAGGATATAGCCATGACAGAGTCTGTTTTCATGAGACAGTTCAAAGGTTAAAAAACTAATAATACCAGTTCAGGTTCCATATCCCCTTTTGCTAGGAGTCATAGCTAGACTCATCCTTGCAGGTTCCTGGGAATTTCCGTTGCACCAGGTTTCTACCTGTCCCTGAAATGACCCTCTTTCCAGTCATCTCTTTCAGTAATCTTCCCCCAACTTACCCCCACCTGATCTCTCATGTTCCCATCCACCCCCCAGTGCACCCATGAAATCTCTTCTATTTCCCCTTCCCAGGGAGATCCAAGTGTCCCCCTTGGGCCCTCCTTGTTACCTGGCCTCTCTTTATCTGTGGAATGTTGCATGGTTATCCTTTACTTTACAGTTACTATCCACTTATAAGTGAATACATACCATGTTTGTATTTCTGGGTCTGGGTTACCTCACTCAGGATGTTTTTTACTAGTTCCATCCATTTGCCTTTGATTTTTTTTTTGGTGTCATTGTTTTTAATGGATGAGTAATATTCCATTGTGTAAATGTACTACATTTTCTTTATCCATTCTTCAGTTGAGGGACATCTAGGTTGTTTCCAGGTTCTGGCTAATATGAATGAAGCTATGAACATAGCTGAACAAGTGTCCTTGTGGTATGGCAGGGTATTCTTTGAGTATATACTGAAGAGTAGTATAACTGGGTCTTGAGGTAGATCCATTCCAAATTTTTAGAGAAACTGCCCAATTGACTTCCAAAGTGGGTGCACAAGTTTGCACTCCAACCAGCAGTGGAGGAGTATTCCTTTGCTCCACATCCTCTCCAGCATGAGCTGTCACTTGTATTTTTGATCTTAGTCATTCTGACAGGTATAAGATGGAGTTTTTGGTTGTATTTCCCTGTTGGCATAGGATGTTGAATGTTTCTTTAAGTGTTTCTCAGCCATTGGAGATTCTTCTGTTGATAATTCTCTGTTTAGATCTGTACCCTATTTTTAAAATTGGATTATTTGTTTTTTTGATGTCTAGTTTCTTTCCAGGCAAGACTACCAGTAGAGGGATTAGGACACCAACCCAGCCCCATTACCTTTGACCTAGAGTCTATCTGGCCTATGGGATGTTCTGGGGTAAGGGTAACATAGAGATTTTAGGAGTGGCCAACCATTGATGGGTCCAGCCTGAGACCCATGCCACAAGAATGACCCACCTTTGACAATGCTTGGAGCAAAAAGAACCAGAGGCTGGATAGCCCAGAGACCTAGGATAGAACCAAACATATTGATGCCATATGGACCAGCCTCTAGCAGCTCAGGGATTGAAGGAGAGCCATGGAGTCAGTGAACTAATCACTCAACTTGACTTTTCTCTCTGAAGGAGTAAGACTTAATTTTCTGGTTCTGGGGAAAAAAAAAGGGAAACACACGCACACATTCTTTTAGGACCTCTCTATCATCTTTTCTCTGTTCTTTACTTATTTTCTTACCTCTATCCTGATGTATCCCTTTTGTCTCTCCCTTGATGACTTCATTCTAACTATTCACCAACGTCTTCCTTCTACATCTTTCCTTCTACATCCTTCCTGGTCTTTTCCTTCTCTCATGTCTTTATTTTTTTCCTTTATAGCTTATATACCCCAGAAAAAAAAAATCTCTCAAGCAGCACAAAAATTACTATGTGGTTACATTCTATTTTTAAGAGAATGATTACAATGAATACAAGTAAAAAATGTTCCTTATATTCCTTACATGATTAAACTAAACACTTTATGTATTACAGGTGAAAAACAAATTATACCCAAGAATGCACATACATTCATGTCCAAGCAACTTGTTATAGATTAACAAAGTGTGAGCAAGCAAGGTGTTTTTCTCAGCCAGTGGTTACAAAGAAATGACCAACTATTTATTATTTATCTCAAAAGATAATCTTATAAGAAGTCTTAAAAGAATCAGAAATCTA